TCTTTCGGCAGGCCTATCCTATACAGCCATCAGTCACAGCTCCCATTTCAGGTAATTCTTCCATTTATACTCTCCTTTAAAAAGACTCATGTTGTGTATTTAATATGATATATTAATTCCTGAGATGGACAGAGCCACTACTCCATATGTAACGTTCCCTGTAGCCATACCAAACACCAGTCCCAGTGCCCTACTATCTGACTATATATGAGGGAAAATCATAGGGTTTCGGAGTGGGGGTTTTTTGTTTGTTTTTACATTTTAGGTAGGAAGCACTAATACATATGCAAGGAGTTGTGATACGTGATCTCCAGTCAGCATTGCATATTGTAGAACAATGCTTTGTAAAAAATGAGTAATAGGATGCATGCTAAATCTCACTTCAATCTGTAATGAGAATAAGCCTTTGTTTTAAGCTGAGGCTAAAAACACTTCCAAAACCATGTGTGTTTGGCCTTATAAAGTATAAAACACCTCTGTGTATCGGGTTGCTAGTAACTCTTCCCCTCCTGAAGGTCCTGCTCTGCCTGGTAGCACTTTGATAAGTACCTAATGTTTATTCTGACTTTCACCACTCAAATTGATCAAGCCCTTCCTATGGCTACTTCCCTGTTCCTTTTCCCAAGTTGTTTTCATGGCTAATTTCAGGAAGGATTATTATTTCTTTGCAGGTGATTATAACTTTACATCTCCCTTGCCAAATGACACCATACTTCTGACTGTTTGAACTGCAGTTTTCTGACTCTTACCATTTTTTATGGTTTTCTAACTTGCTGCTATTTAATGCTTAAAACTAAGGCTTTCTTTCTGCGTCCCTTATTATTTCCTTTTTCTCAATATTCCTAATTTATAATGTCGTTTTCTAGGACAGACATTTTGAATCGTCTTTTATTCTTCCATGTTTTCTCTCAGAATAGGATTATTAGTATTTCTAAAGCAGTCAAAACTCACGCATGAGTTTTTGCTTCATTAGAATTCCTGTTCATGTCTAACCAGTCATGTTTGTAATTCCCTATTTCATAGAAGCCTCACACCTTCATTGCCTAAATTTGAGGGCTGGAGTCAGGTACCGTACTGCCATTATGGGATGTGGACAGACACTACCTGTGACCTCTCACTGGTTCTCAGCCTAGTTCAGGATTACCTCTGGTTTCTAACCTTTGGTGCCAATCCTCTGCCTTCCTTGTGCCTGTGTCTCTCCCAAGATCAGTTTTGCTTTTGAGCTGCTGCCTTCTTCCTTTACCATTTTGTTTCCTTCTCATCTAATTTTCCATGATGAGGAGCAAGAGAAAGCATTTATTCTTTCTGTCGAGGTGAATTAGAGATGGTGGTTAACATCCCTTCTCTCTCTAGATCATGTCATTCCCTCTTTATTATCAATTTAAAACCACCTTTTTCTTTTTAGGGTATGATTCAGCTCTCCACAGTAATTATTTATTATTATCTCTAATATAATGCTGCCTAAAAGCTCCAAAAGAAGTCATAGACCCAATGTGCAAATACATAGTAAGAGACAGTCCTTGCCTTGGAAACCTTATGCTCTAAATAGGAGAAGAGATTTGAGAGTGGCAGAAGAAATAGGCAAAAAGAGAGGTGATTTACTTGTAACATGTGGAACGTTAGGAGCCAGAAATAGAGGCCAGTTCTCTTGACTCCCAAGGCAGTAATATCTCCTGTGAGTCTTGCTGCCAGTGTCTGAGGAAGGGACAGCTATAAGTCTATATGAAGTCTCTATAAATCTCTGTAGTATATAATTTAAACAAAAATTCTACACTGAGCTACAGCCCCAAGGAAACAAAGAAGTAGACCTTTTATTTGCACCATTATTAACTTGCTGGGTTGGGACCTCTTTTTCTACATACTGTTCTGTGTTTTTCCAATTTTAACTCTTTCTGAATTCATTATTTCCTAAAAATTAATATAAACGTCCAAGGGCTACATGCGTAATTCCTGATTATATTTAATTCAGAAAATATAAACTGAGGAATTATCAACTTCTTCATGAAAATGGTTCCTTTGTTTTAGGATTTGAGCCTACGTCAGCTCCAGCTCCCTCGGTCCCTGCGTGGCAGGGCCGATCGATTGGTACAACCAAGCTCAGACTGGTAGAGTTTTCGGCTTTCCTTGAACAACAGAGGGATCCTGAATCTGTAAGTGTTGCCCTCGTGTCCTCTAATCTTCTTCTCCCTTGCTCCCCACCCTCTGAGGATGCTTTCCAGGGTTAAGCCTGATGGAATACACCTGGGGTTTCTGCATTCACCACTGCTCAGTGTCATATTCCTTTCACTGTAGTACTGTATTTTCCTTTCTTGCCCTCTTTTTCCCCATTGGCAGAAGCGACTGGCCTGTCTGAAAGCAGACGTGGTTCGCTACAGCGCCTGTCTCACTGTTGACCTAGTTTAGCAGTTGTACCAAATTGCATAGTGTTTTTGGCAATAATTCCATACTTTAAGTTAAAGCCTAATCTGTTTCTTAACAGAAACAAAATTAAGGGCTTGCATAGAAACTATGCGTATTATTTTAAATATCTGACATTTAGGATAGCATCTGAGTACCAGGATTGTCCCTTTTGGTTCCGGCTTTCCAAGCATATACCAGTTAACTGTATCACTATGTAATCAGCTATCCAAATGTCCAATCGTTCAGTATTTTTTGACTTTTAATTGTGTTTTAGAGTCCAATATAAAGTTTGGATTTTTTAATTTATCTTTTTTTAGGAAGGTTTTGGTTTTATTTTGACTTTTAGTCTGCACACTATACCTGCAATGGTGGTTTATGAAGTTGGCTGTAATGTTTCATTACAGTTAGCCTTGAACCTTGATATTAATCTTAATATATTTACCATGAACATTTGTTAGTAGCCTAGCACTGTTTCTACTGCATTGCAAATAAATCAAAAGAGCTGCTTTCAGCTTGAACCTGAGAATTTTTACTGAGATAATTTCTGAAAAGCAAATACTGTAATGAATGGGTGATATAGATGGGCCATTCTTGTTCAGATTCCTGGTAAAATACAGCAGCTTGGAGCAGAGAAAAGCTATCACTTGCTCTTTATAATTCAGCACTGGAAACCATAGTATTTACGGGCTCTGGCCAGGGGTGTTATCCAGGGAGTGTTTACCCTGCATAATGAAGGTTGGAGTCATAGCCCAGAAACCTTGCAACAGAGGAATGCTCCTGGCAGAGAAACATCCCAATGAAAATATACCATATCTCAACTATTCATGTACTAAGTATGTGGCAGCGTGTCATATTTTGCCAGGTTGAATTAACTCTCAGGGAGGAAATGTTTCGCAGCAGGTACAGTTATCTCAGCACTTACCTGACTGTTAGACACTGCATGGTTTCCCTGGGATCCCTCTGCCTTCCCATAGCCCTGGTTCCCATGCTCTCCTGGCAATCCTGGCTCTGGTTGGCGAAAGCTTCACCTTAGTGTCCCCCAGACTAATGCACAGCTGAAGCACCACCTCCATCCTCAGCCCCAAGTTCATCCAGATGGTGGTTTGTATTTCCGATGCAGAAACACAGCCTCCAGGTTTTCTCATGAGGCAGCCTTAGCAATACGCAGCTTTCAGAGTCCTTGGCTCACTCACCCCATATAAGGTGTCCAGGTGATTTATGGGCTCTGCCATATCCAGATTTCTTCACACCAGGATGTTATGTGTGTGCCTCCTAGTTATCTGGAAAACAGGATGTAGCCATGTAACATTCAGCATTACTGTGCTGTATGTGAATGAAATGGCATTTCAGTGTATTTTGATTTACTATTTTGACAGTATACCACCTAATAATCTTTTTTCCATAGGCTGTCGTAACACAAAACTATTTGCAAAACCAATGGTCTTATATGGTGTAGAGCCTCTCTGTATCTGCATCGCTTTACGTAAAACAGAGGGAATGGCAGCAGCAACTAAGTCACTTTTGTCTTTCCATCTAAGAAAAAGTCTCTCTCAAACTAAGTACACTCTTAACAGATAACATGTGGTTGCCCATCACACCGCTGGTGTCTGTGACGTGAATCTAGCTGAGTCACATGAACGTATTTGCAACGTGACTGACAGACTGAAAAGGAGAAGATGTTGCTTTGGCCTTGGAAGGAGCCACAAGTCCCCCTCTGCTGCGGTGGCGTGGCTGGGAGCCGGTTGTGCTCACGCATGGTGTGAGGGCCAGTGGCTTGGGGACATGTTGGGGCTTTCATTGTTCAGGCAGGTGCAGGCTCTGGGGAACGCAGCACCTCCACTTGCATTGCAGAGAAAATGCAGAGGCCTAAATAGAAGCACGGTTTCCCAGGACAGCCCCATAAATACTGTAAAGCCTTTTTTGGAGTAAACTAATATTATTTGGAATTCCTTAGGGCGCAGTGAGGCCCACCAGAGCTTGTCGCAGCTTGTGAGCATACTGCTGAGAAATCCACCTTTTAAATGCAGAGCCTTTATGCAGGAGGTTTACTACAGAAGAACGAACGTCAAACTACCCAGACTTGTTTTTAAAAGAACAGTTACTTGAAGAAAAGTCCGTTCCCAGTCATGCATTAATCCCAATTTAGATTCTTCCTTACACCCATGCTACAGGTAGAGTGGGGCAGCGCTGTGTGAGGGCTGTGTGGGGACAACCTGGACCGGCTGGCCAGGCACCATGGGTAGCTGAAGGCTGAGCTCCTGGGGACAGCGTGTCACCACTGTTGCCCGTGAAAGAGTGAGAAGAGAAAGCATTATTTAGACCAAATTAAATAAATTTGGTTATTTGACTCTTAAAGAAGGGCAAAGAAAAAAACGCCAAGGCAGTGTGACCAGTTCCCGGGGTTGACACGGGAGGGCACTTGCTGGAGAGGCACCGGGCAGAGATGCTGGTGCATGCCTGTCTGCAGGGATGGCTCTGAGGGGCTCTGCCTCCTCCAGCCTTCCCTTTCCCCCATGCACAGATTTTTCCAGCAAGCACCAAAAGTCCTCCTTGGAGAGGAGAGCCAACCCCCAGCCTCCTTTAGTGCTGTTGAAGAAAACATGAATTCTGCCTGTGGTTTTGTACATCCTTCTTTGTGTTGGTGTAACATTTTATCACAGATACTGTTTGGGCAGCATAGAAAGCATGAGGGTTTATTAATCTTTAAATAACAAAATCAGAGAGCCAGGCAAGATGTGTGTTTTGTACAATGTGCATATGAAGTTGTTTAGGCATGTGCTGTAGTTGCAGCATCTTCTGTACGTTTTTGTGCCTTTGCTGAGCTCAGAAGTGAATAAATGTATGCACAGCTGTGTGAGAGCTGTGTAAGAGTTCTCACGTATCCTCTGAAAAAGACAGGTGTATGTTCATTACACTTCCGACTTTTTACAGAAAATGACATAAAACATTATTTTGACCAAATGAGTTTCCAACACTTTATTTAAAAAAAGATGATCCTTCCTCGATCCCAACCCAAAACCAGGCCAGAAAGCCTCATAGCAGTGGGGGCAAATAGGCCAATTGCACCTTAAAATGTAACCTGGAAGTTTATTCAAAAAGGGTTGTTTGACGTGGCACTTGGGGCCAGGACTCATGATCCCGGGACACCCCTTGCAATCTGTATTCCTGTACAGCAATTAGAAATTTAGGTCTGTCTGCCCATGGCGACTCCCAGCGACTTCAATGGGATTGTGCATGGGCACAAAGGTCCACCCACAGGGAATTCATTGTAGGAGTGGGGCCTTAAATATTTCTGGGGTTCTTCCGATTGCAACTGGTGTTTAAAAGTACAAAAGCCCCTCAATGTCAGGCGGTTATGTTAATTTAGAGTGGGCATTCTGGTGGGTCGAAAATGTGCTCTGTAGAGTCCTGTCACTTGTGGAGGGCTGTTGACTTTTTTCTCTTGCCTAGCCACAAAATTGTTCCATTTACAAAAGAAAAAATTATAGAAAGGAAACAATAAACAACCCTCACTGTAACTCTGCATGACAGAAGATAGTCCGGGAGACATAAGATGGCACAGTTGCTAAATCTTGGAATACTGACTCTGCAGTCAAAGATGGGTAAAATTGCTCCTCCTTTTACATGAAAATCAATTCAGTTTACAAATGTCAAGCTGTATTTTCCTTTTGTTGCATTTTGTGCTCAAGGACAATTCCTAAATGGTGCATAGAAGCTGCCTTTGTAGGTCCAAGTGTCAGCATTTTAGTTACTTTTAATTATTGCCTACCCTATATAACTATATTCTCAACAGATTAGCAAGTTTATGTACCCATCTGTTGCTTTCAAGACAGGTTTTCCGTAGCGGGGGCTTTCCATTTTTGCTGTAGTGTCTCAGTGAATGTTCAGGACAAATGCTTAAACCAAGTAATCCCATGTTCCCTAACAAATATAAACTGAGTATACAAGCAGATTAGGAGGGATCTAAGCAAGTGACTTACACAAATAGCTATAAAATTCAAAGTCTATAACTCTGATATGGTAATAATTCTAATTATTTTATTTATATATGTATATTCAAGCTTGCTTTCCAATCAAGAAAAAACCCTGACATCACCTAACAAAAAAACCCCTTTCTTCTCTTCCTCTTCAAGTTTTCTCACTCTTGCTGCCACATTCATTTTGACTGTGAGCGCTTAAGACAGCTTTACATCTAAAATATCCATATAGGACTATAAAGAACATGGCTGATGGGCATTTTCAGTGTTAATCCACCTATCCAAACTGTCAGATTGTGTTAGGTCCAAATTTCAAAATGTATTTTAAAAAGTGGTGAAGAAATAAAATATTTTTTATGTTTTAATTCAGGTTTTATTGTTGTTGTAAAAGGGCTTTGTGAGCCCAGGGAGAATTGTGCCTGAGAACCAGAAAGTGAAAGCAATTGCTCAAGGGCCATAAAAACAGCCTGCCATCGTTAGCCAAATGCAGTAAAATTCACCAAAGTTAATCAAACCACCTAAGTGATGAAAAATAAATGAGATTTTTTTCAAAAGAAGCCCTCCATCTTTGAACAATATCCATTGTTACAAGCATTGTTTATCCTTTCGGTATTCCCTGTAAACAGTAGAAAAAGCAGGTCAGCATTTCAGTCGTAAGAAGTCCTCAGTTTAGTGTCTTTGTTATGTGAAAGGACAAGGAAGCAAACTCACATTTGGATGGATGTCTTGGAGTGGCAGTCTTGGGAATTGTGGTCGTTTTAATCTAAAATCAG